CGCCACCCCAGCTAAATCACAAATCTTTAAAATCCAGTTCTGTTAATATAGTGTTATCACCACTATTGTTGAGTTGTTAAACTTACGAACTTATTATTATTATTATTATTATTAGCTATGGGAAAATAGCAAGACAGAGTGGGTTCTGTAGCCTTGGATGGCAAACGGTCTAGGAGAAGAACAGCTCTGAATTCAAAACCTCCAACTCCGGGGTTAGATAGCCTCACCAAACCTCACTTGGTCAAGTGTGGTGAGTACGACTACACCCCTGATCAATCGGGGAGGGGTTCCTCCAAGGAATGAGAAGGCCCCTGGTCTGGATCTCGATTTGAATCTATTCTAGGGAAATTTCATCCCTGGTATGTTTTATTAGTAAACAGTATTTTCCCCTGTATTCGCACTGGATATTCTACTGATTGCCAATCGAGTAACAAAGTCTCCTCAGATTTCTAGCACCTTACTCAGCCTATCCCAGTACTGCCGTCTTCTGGACGATTTCACTCTTGTTCTTCCTTGAATTCGCAATTTCTCTAGCCTCAGCTGTAGTTTTTTTGCTGGAATTATTATTATTATTATTATTTATTTATTTATTTAAAGAAATATTCTTCATGATTTGGCGTTGAAAATCAAGTTAGAAACAATAAATCATTCGTTTAAGAGATTTTCATAACTTTGCGCGCATCTTAGTGATTTAAAACTCTTTAGTTCATTGGCTTATTTTATGGTTCTCTATGTTTTCTGTTCATATTTTAGAACCCAGAACATCGGCAGCTTGTCTTTTTTTTCTAGAATTATCACATTACTAAAAACAGATTTGTCATCGTTTCGTTTCTTTATCTTATCGTTAAGCAATTGGGCATAAACTGAATGGTCTGATGGTCCTGAACAGCGGGAAATAGGACGAAAGTTAACGGATAACAAGCGCTTGTCCTACAGGAAACTGGTTTCGGCAGAAGATAACGAAAAAAAAATCAATTCAATCGTTTTGGAAAATTCTTGTCACGTGTAGAAAAGCAGAGAAATTTTGAATAATAATGATCAGGACTTGGTTATTAATTTTCGCTTTTCCAATACAATCCGTACAACAACAACAACAACAAAAAAAATAGTTGTTTAAAGAATCGTCGGCGGCCTCCAAGCCAGGTTTTACAAACTCGGCAGAAATATAGTCAGGCTTGAATCTCTAATGAACAAATAGATAATAGTGATTTTCCTATTCTTAGATTCAACCAAACTGCATACCTGCAGCCATACACCAGTATAAACCACCTAGACTTTTATAAAACTACAAAATTATGAAATCTAATTTTTGTTATTTTTTTATACTTATTCCTTTCAGTTTTCTATATTCGTTTGTTTATGTATTTCGTTCTATAACGAATAAAAAAAATCAATCATTTATTTTTGTTTTGTGATTAATATCTCCGGGTAGTCCGACTATGAAAGGGCAGTGTTGTCTAGTGTTAAATACAGTTTCCTTTCGGGGCAGGCTTTGAGCAAAATAAAGTTATTAAATGAATTTGTACGATAAAATCAATGACCCCCAACTAAATATATTAAACATATCAATAAAAATTAAGTGAAGAAAATGGATAAATATTTTTCTTTGTTTTTAAGCCGGTTTATAAATATTTACATTTTCTACCAATTACTTTGTTCTCGTCTGTTTTTTGGGTTTGTTTTTTTAATTTTGTTTTCTCTTTGTTTGGTTCTTTCTTTTTAAAATGTTTAGTATGATTTTTACTTTATAGAATTGTATTATTTATTCTTTTTGTCTTCCGTTTGGACTGTCATTCACCTGACACTAGAAAAGCAGCCTATGATTGGACTCTTCGGTTGCTGATTTAAAAAACAGGTACACAGACTCTGGAACGACATTAGGACACCAAAACGGGTCCACTTTTTATGAAATTTAAATGTAAACACGACCTGTGATGCGGACATAACGACATAGAACCTGAACAAAAACTAAAGTTCTTCAAAAGGTTTCTCAACCTAATTCAGAGAGAAAGTACTACTCACTTTAAAATACACTGTTGCATATAAATTCAAAACACACCAAAAAATTACATATGCATATATATTTCTATATATACATTCGAACTTTCAAGCCACACACAGCGGGTCTGCAGGGCTGTTATGAGCAAACAAAAAGAATTATACCGGAAGTAGTTCTTCAATATCTTAGAAAAAAAAGACAGAAAATGTCTATGCATATATATATATATATATATATATATATATATATATATATTGTTAGTTGTACGCTTGCTAATCAGAAACTTTTCATTTATAAATACCTATGTGTCTGCATATATTAATAAATACGCAATTTATTTGTTAAGAAGACGTTTATTTATTCATTCAATTACTTATGCTGCTATTCACATTTGAGATATATTTTATTTGTATGGATTTTTACAAATGAGATATGAATTATTTTAAACATGTGTCCATTCTAATAAAGATAATGTATTCGTATAAAACCAATCACATGTAA